CCAAAGGTATAAATTTTCTGAGGATCTGTAGTTGAAATTGTCAGGACAACCAGCACTGAACAGCTACCATGACATAGCTTAAATGTTTGCTGACTTTCTCATACTTTCTCCAGTGTCCTATCATTTGATATCTTATGTCTCATTAGCAATTAAAACAAAATCAAGAATGCAATTCCCTCTTATGCTGTAGTCAGGTAAAAAGTACTGCCAAAGGAATCTTACTGACAAGGTAGTTTCAAAAGTAGCTGGTGATGAAGACTGTTCATCAAAACAGTAGATGAGCAACAATATTAAAATGCCACTGGCTGCATTTAACTAACTGGGGGAAATAACTTTTCATATTTGTTAAAATCGGTGGATCTTATGAAAAGATTAATTCTGGTAATTAATTTTACCTTCTGCAATGCTGGTAGAACATAAATATGTCACACTAACCAGACATCTTCACCTTCAGAACTAAAAGGCTAGTTCAGTCTCGCAACTCATTCATTTCAGGAAGTGCTGAAGGTTGTAAAAAAATGTAAAATTCTAGTTGAAGTACATTTGTGATGAAATGGTATAAAAACTCGTTACATGGGATATTAGATTTTCTTCCAGATTAGTAGTTCAGGTTACTGTAATATTCTGCATAATTTATCAGAATGTTTTCCAACACAGTGATTTTATTATATGTTTTAATACATAATATTATATAAAATATAAATATATTAAATATATTATAGAAAACATAGTTTAATATATATATTTCTATTTATATGAATAAATAGAAAACTTGATTGGTAAAGGGAAAGTCAAAATACATTTATTTTCAGATTTAAAAAAATATTAAAACAAAGTGTGGTGGTGGACAAATACTGTTTATCTTGATATTACAGATAATTAATAATCACTTTTGCTAAGAAAATAATTAAACCTGGTATTCTAATCATGATTCAGGTTTGCATCACACCAAACTTGAACCTGTGTATGTTGCTGAAAACAACATCCATACAGGCTCACGATGATATTAACAGTTTTCAAGGAGCGAAATCATCTCAGACACTTATTGGCAGGATACTTTATGTTCCTAGGAAAGTTTTTCTTTATACAGTAATAGGTTAACTTAAATCACTTTAGAGAGAGATTAATAAACAAAGGCCAAATTCTGAACTTGGGAATGAAACTATATATCCTATTGAGGTAAGTGGGTATTGCATGTGTCCAGTCATTGTGAGAATTTGGCAGTATAGACAGCTCACTTTTGCAATGGCTACAGTTAAGGACAAAACATGCAGTAACTTTCACTGCTGCAGGCTCAGACCTGTAATGTGCAGAGGTGTAAATAACAGGAAAATAGAAATTTGAGTTTTTTGAGAAAAGACCATGGGAAACAGATTCATCATGTTCAAACTTCTCTAAGGAGCTTATGAGACAACTAAAAAACTGCTCAGCCTGATACTACTAGCAACACTGAAAAACACCTACTGAATCCTTTGAAGTTGAGACCTACATATTAATAGTATGGCAGTGCAACAATAGTATTTTTTTTTTACTTCTGTGTTTGCATTATTTATTATTCTAAGAGAGATTTCTGTTTGTTTGAAATTGACACAAAATAAGTAAGTCCAAAGTAAAACACAAATACCATCTGATTATCTCAATAGCATCTTGCGCCTCAATATATGGGTCTCTCTCTAAACTCTGACTCATCTGCCACCAACAGACTGTCAGAGGTGATAATCACCCACACAAAGCTATTTGCACCTCACATCAATACTATCTCATATCTAATTATACCCTTTATAACAAACTGTTTAGCACAATCAGTGAAATTGTGCTTTACAGGAATAAATCAGAAGATATAGGTTAGAAGATTATTTTTTTAATAAAGTATACAAGAAAATACTAATAACTTTTGATACCTGGTCACAGTAATGTACATCCTGATTTATTCACCTAAAACACCAACACAATTACTATAAAGTAATGTATTTTATACAATATCAACATACAAGTTGAAAGCATAACTAATCATAAAATCTACATAATATCAAAATTGTTTTGGGACTCATTAATTGCTAGCAATTTCCCCAGTATTTTTCCAGACATGTCTGAAAAATGCTGAAAAGAGCAGCACTGGAATCAAGTAGGCTGGAAATGATCAAAGAACCTATCATTTAATTGACAGACAACAGCAGGTACAAATGACCTTAATGGGAAAGCTCTAGTTTAATTTATTTTATTTTTTTTTGCTAGATGATCAGAAAGGATGTTTACTTAATGACCATTCTTTCTTTGTGTTTAAACTTTAATGATGTGCTGCTTTAATAAAAGATCCTTTGAGATCAAAAAGAATAAAGAATTATACATATATGTAAACACGTAAATGTATGTATATATTATTTTTCTTTGGGCATGCTTTGATCATAAGAGTCTTCTGGGTGTTACATGGACACCTGTTGCAATAGCATCTTCTTTGTATGCTGGCAGTTTAGTGTTCATTTTTTTCATACTAAACTGAGAAAAGCTTGAAGCATACAAAAGACCATGCCTCCAGCTCAGTGTTCACTAGCAGGCAAAAAATTGCAGCACCTCAGAATAATTTCTTGTCCCCAGATGGGGTAAGAACTCTACTGATATGAACACAAACACTGTATTAGCAGAGACAAAAGAAGAAATCATGCAGAATCCATTAAAGCAGCCGCAACTAATTCATCATTTGCTTTTATATATTGATTGTAATTGTGCTAAAATATAGTTACAACAGAATACGACCAAGAGAAGTCAAGAGATCTCTATTGTGTAAAGACAATTCTGCTATTTCTACTGTATACAAAAAAAACTTTAGAAAATTGTGCCAGTGAACTGCAACTTTTTCCCTCAGCTACTTAAAAAAAAAAAAAAAAAAAAAAAAAAAAAAAAA